GAGAAGTTTCCCTCCTCTCCATGAAGTAGTTAAGAGCTGACAACTGTAGTTTTAATAATTGAAAATTAAACTTATTGGAATGTTGTTGCTTCACCTCTTGGTAAAACCACAGCTAAACTTAGCCAAGTACAGACTGGAAGCGCGTATTATAACCTCCGAATCGGTAAAATCAGTTTTCTTCCCGTAGAATCTGTATCAGCTGTAGAGTCAGAGGATGTCATAGGTCCTTTGCTCAACTCTTTTATTTCACAGTTGAAGAGACAAATGCCCAATCAGTGGCCAACTCAGAACCTGAGGCAAGATTTCTTTATTGCTAGCTATTCTTTCCAGTTTCTGATGCTGGTAACCTAAGATGTAGAAGCATAGAACTTTACAGCTGCAGGGACCATAGGAGTCTTCTGAGAATGGACCCTGGGGTTACATTCAGATTAGCTTCAAGGGTGCAGGTGAAGGTGACTTATCTGCCACGGTCCTTATTTTGGGGGGTTGCTGATTCAGTTCAGGTTCAGGGAGTTTATGGGCATCATTACTAGAACATACCAGGTGTATTAAATTATCCCGAGCAGCCTCCCCCAGGTCTCATTTCTAGACGTACTCTGCTCCAGCAGCTGCTTCTGGAGGCCGTGGGGCCGCCTCAGTTCCCGCGCCCACCCCAAACACCATCATTAGCTTGGTTTTTGGCCCTGCTCTCCTAAACGTTTACTATTAATTTTGGTCAGGCTAGTCCTGTCCCAGTTGATAGTTTAATGTTATCAACTCTTAATTTATCCGTCTTCTTGAGCGATTGTCATCTGAGTGGATTATATGTGTGGACCATACTGCTTTCTGCGAATTTGCTCATTTCACTGTCAACTTTTATTAGGGATTTTTAGTGCAGAATGATTTGAGGACAAAACCAGCACCAACAGCTAGCATTGGGAACAATGGTATATACAGTTATTTCTGCTATAATGCTTGCTTTGTGTTACTTCCATTTAACTGAGATCTGAAATGCAGTGCTTTGTCTGTGTTCTCATTGTGAAACTGGGTGAAAGTGAGAGCCAGAAAACAAACTGGTATACTTTTATTATTATTACTATTATTTGGTAATTATACTGTAGATGGAAAATTACAAAACTGCTGTCAGTGAGGCAGAAACAGTGTACTTAGCATCTGGGCTGACTGTTAAGTTGACAGTGTTTTGACCTCTGGATCAGTGGGTTTCATGCTGTCACAGGCTTTTGGTCTGTTTGAAATTTAAGCATGAGTAGATGCTATATTTACTCACATTTCCCGAGCCTTCCTCATCTTTTCCCTTGCTCCTCTTCTCCCTAAAACATGAGGTGAAACACATAGAATTGTTTTCCTTGTTACTCAGATAATTCCTCCTGCATACAGAGAGGGTGCCGAGCCCTAGGGCTATCTGAATCCTTACCAGGGCCCCAGTGTACCCCGTTCCTCACCGCCTGCGTTGGAGGCCTAGCCTTCACTCTGTGTGCCAGGATTGGGCAGAGAAGGGTGCAATGCAGGTAGCTGTCAAGTATGAGTGTGATTACTTTTCAGCTTTATTTTCAGCTTTCTCATGTTACCTGAGTATTGAAAAATAATGTTTTAGTTTAAAAAGTAGCAGTTCTCTGAGCAAATGAGTCTGCCCCAGACTAGAAATTAACCGCTTATTACCTAAGTACTGCAAACGTTTTCCATTTTCAGATGACGTAAGTAAACTGTCAAAAGACACACGAGACTATTTAAGTGCATTTTATTATACTGTTTTCTGTTCAGAAGGCAGGTCCTGTCACGTTAAACTGCTTTATCCTGTCGAAAGTAGCCTCAGCTTGTATAGTAGAGAGTTAGAGTTTTAAGGTACATTTTTGTTTCTTTGATTTAAAGTAAGGAAAAAAAGACAGTCAGATTCTTGTAGACCACAGAGAAATCCTGGCCTGCCCCCATCCTCAAATGCATCTCCCCAGATCCAGAGAACGTGTGTCATCACTGTGAATTCCCAGTATCCCAGAGAAGCTAATGGCATCTGCTCCTCTGTGCTGTGAAGATCTGTCACCGTTGTCTCAGGAAGCAGAGAGGGCACATTATCTAAAACAGGGGCGGTGGATAAAACTGGAGGGAGAGCAATTAGGTAAACCCTAAAACTATTGCTAGCACACAAGTATCCAGGAAGAGACCTAAAACTATTGCTAGCACACAAGTATCCAGGAAGAGAACGTCTGCAGTCCAGACAACTTGCTTGTTCTCAAGATGGAATGGAGTGGGAACAGGTAAACGGAAACGTGGGAGTCAGCACAGAGTCTGCGCACAAATACACATGCATCCGTGTGTGCAAACTAAAGAGTAGAACTTAATCTGATGTGATTTCCCAGGGACTGAATTCTGTGATTTGGGGCTGTAGCCCACTCTGGCTCCCACCCTCGCCTGTACTTCTTTCCGTACCTACAGTGGGTGAGGCGCCTCAGCCCATGGAAATGGCTGAGTGCAGATTCCTGTAGCTCATCAGTGGTGGAGGGGACAGGGAGGGCAGAGGCTGCCGCCTGCTCTCACAGAGCCCTGGGGCCACAGGGAGCGCCCTGCTGCACAGTGCAGTGTGAAGGGAATGCGTCCCCTCTCCAAGGACTGGTGCGAGAGAGGTCTCTATTGAAAGGTTGGTAATTGGGTGACCTTGTTACTCTAAAGCATTTTTCATAGTCTTTGCAGTCAGACATTTCTATCGTAAAGAGCACTTTAATTAACAAAACCTCTTCTTGAATAATTTTGATACTTATTTTAGTTGACCTGCTAGTAACAGAGCTCTTTCACCCACCAACCGGTCCATGACTATTTTTATAGTTACGTGTGTTACAAACATACGGGCATCCAGTAGGGGAGCGTGTTTAAGTAATTCATTGTGAATTTTATGTGTATCGTGAAGGGTGTTTGTTAACATGTCTTGATGAGAGATCATGTGAAACTTCTCTTCAGCTTTAAGGAGCACATACTTTGTCTCCTTTTTAGATCTCCTGTTTTTATTTTTGTTGCTGTCTCTCCCTATAATAAAAGTGGTAGAACCACATCACTCTCCGAGAAGGAGAAGCTGCGGAGGTGGATTGGGGGATGGCCTGTAACCCTGACAGCGGTCCTCTGTCCTTCACGTGCATTTGCCCGGCGGCGGGGCGGGGTGGGGTGGGGTGGGGGGTGGGGGGCGCGTTTTTGCTTGTTTATTCCTTGTGGACCCCCACCCTACTCCTCCCTTGGCCTTGGAATTAATTATTCAGAGCCCAGTTCAAATCCCGGTTCTTCCACCTCATAGCTGTGAGGTCTTGGCAAGTTTCTTAACTTCTCTAAACCTCATTTCCTCATCTGTAAACTGGAGATAATATTATCCACTTCATAGGTTATGATGAGAATCAGATGAGGTGATGTATCGAAGTTTATCTGTTTAAAGGACCTAGTTCACCACTTGGCTTAGAGCGGAATGGGCTCAATACATATGATAAATATAAAATGTTTTGACTTGAGTGTAGAAAACACTGGTTTTATTCCTAAGTAAGTGCAAGACATTCTGAGATGTCTGTGGAAATTCACACATTATCATTCACTGCCTGGGATGAATGACGGTGTGGTAAAAGCGAATAGAAGACCTTCGTTCAAAGAAACAGACTACCTGTGATAATGGAGGTGTCACCAGGATCTTATAATTAATGCATCTGTTGATTGGTTTTCATTGCTGTGGCTTTGGAATATGTGTTATTAGAAAAGGAATGCCATTTTAAAATGATGCTTAACCTCATCATAGCTGCCTGTAATGTTCTTATTTTGTGACTGCAATAAACATTTTATGGGATAAAATTGGTAATTTAGGCCTTTCAGGAGAGAACCAAGAAAGAGTTTTCAAGTGTTTCTGATTTTTCTTAGTTTAGGTTCCTCAGAAGTTTAAACCTTAATTTGTTTGCAATAGCTGAAAGAATAAAAAGTCTTTTGAAAATGTCTTAATTCTGTTGTCAGTACAAAAGATTGTTTCAGTTTTAGCTGGAGTCTATATTTTGAGGCTTTCTTTAACTGACTTTAATAAAAATTACACATTTTAGAAGGTAGTAGTAGGTACTTGTGGCACGAATGTCCAGATAGTATTCAGACACATTTTATCTTCTGCTATGTTAGGTTTATTTTTGGAATGGAAGTAATTGAGTTCTCTGTTTATATTTACTTCGAGTTTTTTGTGTTTTAAAAACATGCCATGTTTGTTTAGTGCTTATATCTAAGGGGATGAAAACTATGTAGTGTGTTCCAGTTTTTCCTGGTTAGTGAATGGTGTAGAGCCCTTTCCACAGAGGATTTCAGTCTGTTTTAGTTTATATGTGATTAGATTTTAAGCTCTGTGAAGTTTCAATTTCATATGAATTTATGTATCTAAACTTGGTTCGTTGGTTTTAATCATAAGTCATAATGATCAGTTCATCCACTTAAGAAACCAGTTCATGTGCAAAAAAGAACAACTGATTGCTGCGGCCATTCTTTTTGCATTCCTGTGTTTCAGATCTCAAATAACTGAAGTGAAAAAAATTAAAAAAAGAAAGAAAGAAAGCTGGATTAACCACTAATTAATTTTTATTATTTTGAAGAAACTTTTTTGAGTTGTGGGAGCTCTACTGTCAAGATAGATGCCCATAAACTTGTATTTTAAAGTTAATTATACATTAAAGTAGATTTACTAACATACTTTATAAGGATACCTCTTCTTCACACTAAAAAAAAAAATGTAAACGTAACAAAATTGGAAGTCTACCTAATGCTAACAGTCTCTTTACATCGTACTTTGGGATGAGCATGACTACATAGTACATATTGTCTGTATTTTACAGGGACATTTTATATTGACCATTTAACTTTTAAGTTTGCTTTTTCTTTGGAAATCAATTATCGTAGTATTTGAAATGACCGCTGTATACTTATTTTGAGGTTTAACCAAGCTTCTTTGCATATTAGAAAATACTTCGTAGGACCAACCCTGTTTCCCCCTTTGGTTTATTTAGAAGACTTGCACTGTCTGCCAGATGCTGCTTCCTAACCAGTGCAGTTACGCATCTCATCAGAGAATCCACCAGCACAAATCTCCCTACACCTGCCCCGAGTGCGGGGCCATCTGCAGGTCGGTGCACTTCCAGACCCACGTCACCAAGAACTGTCTGCACTACACGCGGAGAGTTGGTTTTCGGTCAGTATATCGTTCATTTCTGTGCAAATAAAGCTTATTCACGTCTGAGGGCACAGGGTTCTGAGTGGTCTGTGCACATCGTTTTCAGGGTCATACAGTGATACCTCGATTAACAGATCCTCTGGGAACCTGGCTCATTTGTAGTCGAGTTGATCTGTGTGAATCCTGTAATGTGGTATTGACTCTGGTCCACACGAAGCCGAGGGTCAATGGGACCCATCCTTCTAAGCAAAAGTGTGCAGGTGGTAAGGTTTGGCCTTGATTGACTGTTAGAGCCTTTATACTTTCTGTACCCTTTCTAGCATACTTCTGTTGTCACGCTCTCTGCATTTTAAGCCCTGCAAGAATGCAGTGCGTTTCTGTACCTCTGAATACTTGCTCTCATCAAAACAGAAAGGGTATGGATGGTCCCTTACTTTTATCTTGTCCTGTTAAAGGATTGGGTGTGTGTCCTTTCCTACCACCGCTCGTTGTGGAAGAGCCTTCCACCCCAGATCACCTTCCTTTATTCCTTCTTCTCCATTACCTGAGTCCAGGCTTCTCCCTCATCTCTGCACATCTTAACCGTGACCCCTTTCACTGCCCCCTAATATTCTCAGATGTGTCTTTTACAACATCTGACAAGGCTAATGTTAGTTTAGTCTTTTACAACATCTGACAAATCTAAATGTTAGTTTAGTATCGAGCGATGATGCATTTGAACTTGATCCTCCACTTTGTGACCTTCTGAAATGCATTCCTGTACCTTTTAGAAACATTTTGTTCCTGTACATTTTGATCCAGTGAAGGTCCACCAAGAACACACGTCATTGATATACAGTGTCTTTGTTAATAGAGGTATTACTGTATTGTGTATTTATCTTAGACTTGAACATTTGTTCACCTGGTATTGTTAATGTTAGACTGTTAATATACAATTATTTTTTTTCTTTTAGTTGTGATACAGATAAGATGTTTTATAAAAATGAAGGCCAGTCGGTATGATTTAAAAGTTTTATTTCAGTTAAATTTGCGTTATGGCATCACCAATTTCTAGGTGGTTCAGTCCATTCTTCTAACACTAAGACTTATTTCACATTTTTATCTCACGCCTCCAAACCTGTGAGGCACAGATGTTTAATGGATTGGCAACCACCCTAGTAGAAAACCTTTGGTTTGGAAACTTAGAAACCAGGGTTTTTGTACCAGTTAGGCTCCTCATTGTGTGGTAATTCATGTGTTCTTTGTGCCTTGGTGCCCTGTCTGTAAAATGGGTGTGACGTTTGCCTCCATCTCTGTGGGCATGTTACAGAGCAAAACAGGATAGTCCAAGAGCATGCTAAGTGCTTAAGAGGAATGTTCCACATTGAAGGTGCCCTCGATTCCACAGAATTCATACACAGTGATACTTTGGTTCTTATCCCATGTTTTGAAACTCTTATTACTGGATTCTTTATTTAATATAAAACTACAAGTGCAGTTCTTTTAACGGATGCCAATTTCCTCAGATATTTATAGTTGATTTTTCTAATATAATGAAAGTGAACTTAAGTTGGAATGAATAAAGGAAGTAAGACTCCTATAATGCTAGCTATTCCTGGTATCTTTTTTTTTTTTTTTTTTTTGCGGTACGCGGGCCTCTCACTGTTGTGGCCTCTCCCGTTGCGGAGCGCAGGCTCCGGACGCGCAGGCTCAGCGGCCATGGCTCACGGGTCCAGCCGCTCCGCGGCATGTGGGATCTTCCCGGACCGGGGCACGAACCCGTGTCCCCTGCATCAGCAGGCGGACTCTCAACTACTGCGCCACCAGGGAAGCTCTATTCCTGGTATCTTTTCTAAATTAAAACAAAAGCTCTGCCGGCAAGCTAAAAGTAATTAACTCAACTTGGAAAAGACCATCTCTTGCTTTTCTTTTCTTTTTTTTCCCCCCTCATTCACAGAGTTGCTTAAATTTGGCACTTTGAATTTTTACTAAAATTTCTGTGTTTAGTATAGACTTTTTTTCTTGCATTTGAGGGGTTACAAGAGCTATAAAAAAAACACTATGTTTGTACATTCTGAAGTTTAGTTCATGTTTACCTCTTTAGGTAATAGAACAGAATGCGACCTGAGTTTTTTTCCTGTTGTTTCAAATAATGGTCCAGTCTGCTACTTGTCTGGGGTTCAGCAGCCCCTTGACCTTGTACATTTTCCCCTCCTTCTTTGGCTTTATAGTTTTTCCAATTAAAAAACTTCTTTATTTCATTTTTAGCCGGAGGAGCCTCTCTGGCGTGGCTCCCAGCCTGACTGTGTCAGGATCCCAGCCTCTTCCTGGTTTGGTGCCTTGTCTGCTCTCTTCCTGATCATACACTGCGTCTCCCAGATAGTGAGGAGGCCATTTCTAGCTTCTGGTTGACTTGGTAAAAGTCATTTATTTCTCTGAATTTTTCTGCTTCTTGATCCACTAGATCTGCGTCTAGGGAGGGGAATTATAGGATTGTATACTGTAAATTTTTTTTTTTAATGAAGAGACACTTAATTGGTACCCAGAACACACAGGGCTTCAGCTATATTAAATATTTATTAATAGACTGGGTTTTTAGTAGCATTAGGATGCTGTATGAACCCTTCAAATTCTCCTTCTATTTTTCTGTCTTATTTGCATTCCATATTGGCCTCTTTTCTTCCACTTGTAGGCAGATATTTTACAACTTTCTTTCAAGTTCTTTTAAATTTTTCTCCTTTCTTTCCTCACGTTAAGGGGAGGGGGGCTTTCCCTCGCCTCCATGAGGCTCTTCGGACCAAGCCTTAGCCACCTCCTTTATCAGCTGTAGGTTCTCTAACCTCCTGCTTGTTTTCTTAGAGATTAAATCTTCCTCTCCAGGCGACTTCAGAGAAACAGCCCTTCCTTGGTGTTTTGCCCTTTGAATACACCTTTGTACTCTTGATGGGGAAAATACTTTATGATTCACAATGTAGCAGATTCTTTTGTTTAATAGTTAGTAACCCATCTGTTTTTGTTTTGTGTTATCTTCCTCTTTCATAGGAATTACTGGCTTCTAGGGTTGGGAAGGACTAAAAAATGTATCTATTCCAACTCTTCTCATTTAACAAATGAGAAACCAGCCCAGAGAGGATCAGTAACCTGTTCAAGAAAACCCAGGTTCTAGTTAACTCAGAATTGTTGCAGTGTGCTTGGGTGGCTTTATTGCCTAAAACAGTAGGTCAAGTAGATAGGACAGAGGAGCATTCTGTATTTATTCTCCTATATTCAGTGCTTTTAATGTATATGCTGCTGAACATGATGCCGTAAGTCATTTAAAATGCTAAGGCATTAATTATGATTTTTATGAAATGCCCGCAAAGCTTAACATGGCAGGCTTTATAGAGCACGTGTAATTTAGAGTGTGTCACTCCTGTACGACTCTGGAAGCTGCTCCTTGAATTTGGAGGGAGGTTCTAAGAACAGAAGTGTCTTAGATGTCAACGCCATCGAGCGCTGCCCCTGGAAGGCAGCCCCAACTGCAGTCTTCCTCCCCCAGGTCAGCCCTCACATTCACACCCAGGACACGTCTGCCGGGTGTGTGAAAGGTCTGCCCCTGCAGACCCTCGAGGGTCGACAGAGAGACCACTCTCAAATAATTTTCAGGTGTGAACAAAGAAGGAAGACTAGGTGATAGATGGGTGGACTGTTAAGGGGTGCTGGGCGTCCTTGCGTGAGAAAGGTGAGGCTGGGGGGAAGTGTCTCCAAGTTCTAAAGTTTGTTTCTGTAGGACTAGATTTGAGTGAGGAGTGAGCTAATCATCAAATTATTAGAAATTCAAGAAGAGGTTAGATAGAGAGGCAGTTTACATAGGGAGGTTGGTTTTTCAGATGGTTCATCTTTCACGTCATTTGTTAAACAAATGTAAGTGTACTTAAATTGAATCTCCAGGAGACAAACACACTAGGTGGTTGACCTTCTCTATAGCCTCCAGGAACGTTCAGTGCCTCCTGTGTGGTCACGACACAGCGGCTGTGGCTTTGGAGCCAGTACTCATTTGTTCCTCTGGGTCCCTCTGTCGATGGCATATAGGATTAGACAGCAAAGCTTTCTTCCTTTGGGTATTGGGGATGGGTGGGAACCTCAGAATCCAGCGTGCGGGGGTCCTCTCAAAGCCAGCAGTCGTAGGGTCTTGCTGTGCTGCTGGCCTTGACGTGGCCCCATGGTCCATTGGTTTCACCACAGCCTGGCGTCTGGATGTTCATTCTTAGAAACTTGAAAGATGCTCAGAAAATAGTCCATTGGAGTGTTAGTTTTCTTCTTCATGATCTTCCTTCTCAAATATATAAAAATAATTTGATCTGTTACAAACAGAAAAAACCCACACGCTTGAAAAAGCTCCTAAGAACCTTAAAGGGCTATTTGTTCATTTTACCCAGTTTTACACAGTTAAGTTATACATGTTTAGTGGTCTCGTGCTAACGACTGTGTGTTTATTTTCTAACAGATGTGTGCATTGCAATGTTGTGTACTCTGATGTGGCCGCACTGAAGTCTCACATTCAAGGTTCTCACTGTGAAGTCTTCTACAAGTGTCCTATTTGTCCAATGGCGTTTAAGTCTGCCCCAAGTACACACTCTCATGCCTACACGCAGCATCCCGGCATCAAGATAGGAGAGCCAAAGTAAGTCATGCTGCCTTTCGCCTTTTACCCCACTCCTTTATTAGTAATTTAGAAGAGGTGGTAGTTCTGTGGGATATAATTTAAGATACGAAAAGTTATGCCGCTGTGCAGATTTTGATGCTCTGCGAAGTATAGCTCGTAACTCCCTAAACCTGTCAGTCCTGTCCAGGGGGGACTCTTTGCCCTAAAATGTCACTTACCATTCATGCGCTTGTCATCAGTTTCTGCTAAACAAGTGAATGTTTATCATTATTGTTCTTTTTCTTAAGACGATTTTAATAGGTTCTTGGAAGACTGTAAAAAACTGTCCTCTTTCAATTTTCATAGTTTCTTAAACACTTTTCACAGTAACATTTATAAGATGAAGTCTACTTAAGACACTGGTTCCTGCATTTAACTTCATAGCCGATGTAAATCCTTGATTAGTAAAAAGTAAATTTCATCTTTTGCTTGATTTCGCTCTTAATTTTGTCAGTGTTTGCCTCGTTGAGTTTGTGTTTCAGCAGGCAGTTACGGGCTGCCCGCCTGCAGTGGTGGCCAGCTTCGCAAAGACGAGGCAGTGAGGGCGCTGGGGTCAGAATCCTGCTGCCACCCACCAGCTGAGTGACCTTGGGCCGGCACTGACCCCTGTAAAGTGAGGGTCACGCTTCTGTCCCCGGGTTTGTGTGAGGATAAAGCAGGGTGAGGTCTTTAAAATGCACGGCACGTGGCCCCTCTCTCTGGCACACGGAGAGCCCGTAGCCTCGGCACCTCCCCTGCTTCCTTGGTCCCTGGATGTGCACACAGCCCTGGATCAGATGCCCGGCCTGATGTTCACTTTCTTCCTGTGTTGTTTGCGGCAGTGTGGAATTTGATAATTATGTGAGGCTAGATTTGCTGCCTCAAACCTATTGGTGTGTTTTGTCTAAAACTCTATAATCAAGGAAGCATTGGGGGAAGATATGTGGATATGCCATATTATGTATGTCTGGCTTTCATGTAACATTTAGTTTGGGGGAAATGTCATTGGCTAAACACGATAGAAGTGACTCTGTTTACTAAAAAACTATGAGAAAATGGAATTTTATTCTAATAGGACCTTCACTCTGATCTTTGTAGATCTTCAAAATGAAACACATTACAAATTAGGGGATCCACATACGACTTGGTGTCTTGACTCCGAAGACAGACATTAGTGAAACATCAGTTAAACAGCCTTCAGTGTTCCTGGTCATCAGCCTTTCGGACAATAGCATAGTCTGCCCTACCCCCTACTCTCTCCCCCCACAACCCCCCGGTGAATATAGTTTTTGACTTGGTTTTTTAATTCAAGTAAATAAAACTTTATTCACTGGAATGTGCATGAAATCTGGAACAGTAGTTGTTACCTGGAAATACAGCATAGCAAACGATTAAAGTAAGCTAAAACAATATTCCTCAAATTTGAGTAATGTATAGGAAAAAAATCATTCCAGTATTCTCTTAAAAACTTTACTACAGTGGTTTTTTAACAGGTGCAAGCCCAAAGATAGGCATTAAAGATTGAGTTTTAAACTATAAAACTAAAACAAATTTACAAGTAAAACACAACAAAACTCCCAGACCAGTGAGCACAGCTAACAGCATTAATTCAGGGTAATGAGTCAAGACCTCACTGCAGCAGCAGATGCTGCTCCTCGGGCCCTGTGATTGTCACCCGTACTACAGGTGCCACCTTTCCCTATGCACACTCTATAAAGCCTGGCTTCCTGTGCCATGCTGGGAGCTGCTTGGCCTACATTTGACCCAGAAGCTTTCGTTCGACATTAGATCTCTGTTCTGTTAAAGTTATAGCCCCACGTAAATAAGTAGCTCCCACACCAGTAGAACATCGGGCATGAAATCTCCCAGCAGTCTTTGGTTAACTGGTTTTATGCAAATGACTCAAAATCTTTGGTTAAGGTGGTTTTATGCAAATGACTCAAAATTATGCAGATGATTTACATTAATTTTTAAAGATCAATATAAAAATCCCACCTCCCATTTCCTTTAGAGAATATATGGAAGTCTGAAAATACACCCATGAAGAGTCCCAGCACCTCAACTTGAAAAGCACAACATAAGATTTTTATTTCACAGATGTAGTGATTATTATGTGCAGGTACCATTCCAGTGCTTTGTTTTCCAGTATGTGGTCAGGCATGTTTCCCTGCTGTGTCAAAGGGAACTTTGAACACCCTTTAATCTTTTCTGGGTAATTTAAGATCGTTTTGAATGTCCACTACTAGATTTTATGGGGATACAGTCTTGTGACTGTTTTTATATCTTCCTCGACGTCTGATTAACCAGCCGTTTCTTTGGGTGCTTTTCCCTTCCTTCCATTTGCCTCTTCTAAATGTATATAAATAGACAAATGAGGACTTCAAAGTGAAGAATTGTATGAGACGGAGTTGGGTTTTTTTTGTTTCATTTTGTTTTTTTAAAGAGTCTGAGTGCCCTCATCCATGACACTCCTGGGTCTCCTATCATGAGTGCTCAGCTGATTGCTATGTGATTGAATATGGGCCCTGAATCCAGATTATTTGCTCTGCCATTTACTGGCAAGTTGTTTAATTTTTTATGTCTCAGTTTCTTTTCTTTTCTTTCTTTCCTTTTTTTAAAAAAAGATTTATTTGGTTGCGCCAGGCAAGCTCCTTAGTTGCGGCTCGCCGTTTCCTTAGTTGTGGCGTGCATGCTCCTCAGTTGTGGCATGTGAACTCTTAGTTGCGGCACATGGGATCTAGTTCCTTGACCAGGGATCCAACCCAGGCCCCCTGCATTGGGAGTGCAGAGTCTTAACCACTGCGCCACCAGGGAAGTCCCAAGAGATGGAGTTTTGGAGCAAGTTCCTGAGAAATAAAACGGTACAAAACTACAGTAGCGGCGTGGTGGAGGACTTTGATTCAGACGAAGCTGAATTTAAAGCACGGCCCTGGGATTTACACAGCATCAAGCAGATTCTCTAATCTCTGAGCCTGTGTCCCAGCTGTGAGGGGGCAGTGGTGCAGATTCACCTAATGGAGGTGTGGGGATGTGTCCTACTCGGACGGTGCCTTGTACCTGGCTGTACTCACTCAGTGGCAATGGAGGCAGTTGACAGCAATTCTGAGCTTAGAATCCTTTACTCATGTGTTTTTACATTTGTTTCAAGGGTAGCACTCTGTCCTGACTGAGGGTGGGTTTTTGGATTGACTTTTTCCTTTCCACCTCCTGTTTTCCTTCCCCTACCTTCCATCCCCTGCCTCCCCACCCCTGCAGATTTTTTCAGCCACCTCCTCCCTCCTTTGTTCTAGTCCAGTTATCCTGCCATTCACTCAGTCTTGCAGTTGGGTCAAGTCAAACTTTTAGGTTTATCTTTCAAAGTACCTCCCCTGCATCCAGCCACACTGTCCCCAGCATGCTGTGCCCGTGTAGACTCCACCTTTGTGCGCACTGGTCTCCCTGTCTTTTTTCTAATTAATTAATTAATTTATTTATTTTGGGCTACGTTGGGTCTTCATTGCTGCATGTGGGCTTTCTCTGGTTGCGTCGAGCGGGGGCTACTCTTCGTTGCAGTGAGCGGGCTTCTCCTTGCGGTGGCTTCTCTTGTTGCGGAGCATGGGCTCTAGGTGCGCAGGCTCAGCAGTTGTGGCTCGCGGGCTCTAGAGTGCAGGCTCAGTAGTTGTGGTGCACGGGCTTAGTAGCCCCGCAGCATGTGGGATCTTCCCGGACCAGGGCTCGAACCCTTGTCCCCTGCCTCGGCAGGCAGATTCTTAACCACTGCGCCACCAGGGAAGTCCTGGTCTCCTTGTCTTGAACAAAAGCCCTCCCTCCTCTCTGCCCGCCAGTCTCCCTGTGGTTCTTTCCTGCACTGTAGCAATAGTTGGAGAGTCTGCTCTGTGGTCACGGCCTATCACTATGTCTGTCAGGTTCGTGGTACCCTTATTTGGACTTTTCTTTTTTGACATTAGCACCAGATTTTATTTTATTTTTTTATTTATTTATTTTTCCGGTACGTGAGCCTCTCACTGTTGTGGCCTCTCCCGATGCGGAGCACAGGCTCCGGACGCGCAGGCTCAGTGGCTCACGGGCCCAGCCGCTCCGCGGCATGTGGGATCTTCCCGGACCGGGGCACGAACCCGCGTCCCCTGCATCGGCAGGCGGACTCTCAACCACTGCGCCATCAGGGAAGCCCCCAGTTTTTAATTTTTTAATCGTTTCTATCTTACAGAAGAGTTGAAAGAGCACTGTGGAGAACTCGTGCGTCCCCTTCACCCGTATCCCCCAGTTGTTAGCATTTCTGACATTTGTTTCATCCTTTCATTTTCTTCTTTCTGTATCTCTCCCTGTCTCCTATTTAGGAATAATGGGGCATCATGACATAAATATTTGAGTGTGTTCTGCCTCTCCTCCCCAAAAGGACACTCATGTATATTATTACTACCATCTAGCCTCCCAACCAGGAACCAGCGTGGATTACATTACCAACCAGTTCATAGAGCCCATGAAAATTTCTCCAGTTGTTGAGATATTGTCTTTTTTTCCCCTTTCTTTCTGGTACAAAATCTAGTCCAGGAGCACATTTTGCATTTAATTGTCCTGTCCCATCAGCGTGCTTCCATCTGGAGCAGTTGCTCAGTCTTTCCCCCTCTCATCCAGCAGAGGATACCGGTCTTGTGTTCTGAGGATGACCCTCCTTCCCGGCCCGGCCCCGCTTTCTCATAGTTGGACTCAGGATACATACTCAGGCAGGAATCTCCTCATCAAATCCCATCGAGGATGCTCACCGCCTACCTGTCCTTCTAGGGATGTTACCCTCCATCATCTAGTCCAGTTGGCAGTGGCCAGATTTCTGCACTGTGAGGTCACCATTTCCCCTTAGTTTTTTTTTTTTTAAGGATAGCTAATTTTTTTTTCTTTAATTTTTTTATTTGGCTGCATCGGGTCTTAGTTGTGGCACATGGGATCTTCCTTGTGGTATGTGGGATCTTTTGTTGCGGCACGCGGGCTCTTTGTTGCAGCGCGAGGGCTTAGCTGCTCTGCGGCATGTGTCATCTTAGTTCCCGGACCAGGGATCGAACCTGCGTCCCCTGCATTGGAAGGAGGATTCTTAACCACTGGACCACCGGGGAAGTCCCTCCCCCTGGTTATTTGTTAGTGGTTTGTAGGGTATATTCCAGTATTACACCAAAAACCTGTTCCTCAGAAAAATGCTGAAGTAAATAGATTATGTCCTGTCTTATACTTTCTTTGCAGTTCAGTAGAAGGCAACAAAGCAAAACAAACAGAACCTGAAAGGAATGTAGCATGAATAAAACAAGCCGTGCCATTTTTCATGAAAGAGTTATTTCTGAAAGTGTAAGAATAGAGTCCTGAGAAAATACTTAGCCAGCTAGTAAGTCTTAGTACTTTTCTTGAGGCTATTCTGCTAATTACAGAAAAATCAGGAAATAGAAGCAAGCAAAACAATAAAAAATTACCATCCAGCAGAGATTATGATAGTTATATACCATCTGTTTCTTTTCTATACCCTTTAAACAAACGTGGTCGTATCCCGCATACTGTCTTGTTACCTGTTTTTTAATTTGCATGAAGATCATTCCATGTCATTGGTATGTGTCTGCATCATAATTAAAAAAAATCATACATTATTGTTCTTATTTAACTACTTACATTACTAGACGTTTGGGTTATTTCCAGCTCTAAGCTATTTCAGACAGTGAGGAGATGCACATCTTCGTCGCATCTGGTAGACTTAAGGGTGACACATCATTAATGTACCACCTTTGGGCTGAATGATGAAATCCTGTAAACCTTGTCTGATCTTAAAAAAAAAAAACCTTTCTCCCATCAAGGGTGCTTGTGCTCTGTGCCAGGGTAACTGACGTGTCAGGACCTTCTAAAAACATGTCACTCACGCCAATTAAATTTATAAATTTCATGTGGAAAAAGAGAAAACAAGTTAAATCTATAATTTTGGGGTATAGAAATAGAGAGTGAAGTCCGAAGGTACGTGAGAAGTGCTGTCTTAAGAAGACCCTACGAGGAGACAGGTGGTTTCAAGAAGAAAGCCATTCCTTTTTTTAACTTTTCTGTAGAAATAGCAAACAACCTCAGCTTTTTCTTTCTCACGTGGCTCACACCTTTGGTCAGTGTTTCTCTGCCATTTTCCTAAGCTGCTCTTTGGGATTCTTTGTTCTGGTGATCCTGGTTGTTCAGAGGAAACACAGGTGTCCCTAGGGCCTCCCTTAAGGCCCAGGACGACCCTGTTGGGAAAGGGTGACCTCCTGTGGGCAGACGCGCTCACCAGTGACCCAGCAAATCCCTGGGGGCAAAGGTTGGCAGCGGGGAGGACTCTCTCCTGACGGCCAGAGGAAAGTGTGGAGGGATAAAGGAATTATGTCCAGAAGGTTCAGAGCTGCTGAGTTAATAACTTCAGGAGGCTGCTTGGTAGTAACATATTAGGTAGGGAAATGGTTTGTAGTGGATAGTGAGTATTTTAAACCATTCAGAGCACAGTAGACACTCAGGTGTTGAAGCAGCATTTGATTTGTGGATTTTATTGTATGCGTCTTTATTTTCATGCATAATTGCTTCCTGGTGCAGGGCTTCGTTGTTAAGAACAGGTACAGAAATAGTGATGTTAAGTATAAAATTACTACTAACTCTGAAAGAAAACCTGGAACAAGTAACAGTGTGTTCAGGCATCCAAGACTTGGGGTCTGCTTAGTTCATCAGTCAAATTCTCTCAAGTTAGGGTACCACCATCAGGCTGTGTTCCTTGTCTGATCTTTAAAAATATTTAAAAAAAAAATCAAGGATGCTTTTGCTCTGTGTTAAAGTAGCTTACGAGTAAAGACCTTGTAAAACCTTGTCAGTTGTAGATCTGTGGGTAGTAGAATGATTTCTAAGCAAATGTGATCCAGTGCCTCTATACCCAAAATGTTAAGTTGAGCTGCACTCCAGTGATGCCAGCTGCCTTCGAAAGTTTGTTTCAAAGCTAAACTGCTCTATTCTTTTTATTGTGTTTGTTTGTTCTTGCTGCTTTTGCCTCCTGAATTCTTGGATGTGAAGTAGTGGTTCCTTTGGCCTGAGAGATGAGGGCTGACTGACATTTCCCTGCACCTCTTCTGTTTTAGAATAATATATAAGTGTTCCATGTGTGACACTGTATTTACCCTGCAAACCCTGCTGTATCGCCACTTTGACCAACACATCGAAAACCAGAAGGTGTCTGTTTTCAAGTGTCCAGACTGTTCTCTCTTATATGCACAGAAGCAACTCATGATGGACCATATCAAGGTGTGTGCGCATCTCTTACGTCCTTTAAATGAACCGCAGATCCATTCATTCATTGGTCATAAATCAAGGCTGAGCTGCAGATTACGGGAAAGCATGTGCTCTGTCGAAGGAAGGGATGGACGCTGGTCGTTGGTAACGAGCAGTTTACAACATGCTGTCATCACGAGTTCACTTAACTGAGGGATGCTTTTTATTCCCGAGCCCTGGTCTGCATACCATGAAAAATCAAAGCAAAGTAACAAATGCATGCCCTGACTTTAAAAGAATAATCAAGCTTTAGGGTTTTTTTTTTCCCCCATATGTGAAAATGAAGGCTGTGAAGTTTACTTTTTTGAGAACTTGGTGTTATGTAGGATTTAGAAATAGACAGGGACTCTGATGAATTATGTTAATTTGTATAAATACTGGTGTGTTTAGAAAAATGAAGGTTTTCCCTTGAAATTACTTAAGCAGTTAAGTTTGCATTATAATTGATGCCCTGGATCTTGTAGTCTTTTTTTTTTTTAATCAAGTTTGCATGTAAACTGACAGTGAAATGTCCAGGATACAGCACAGTATCTGGCACCTGCTGGGTGTTCAGTTAATGAAATGAATAAATGTCCAGTTTGGACGACCCACTCTCCAGTCCCCAAAAGGGGCACCTAAATCTCTTTATAGCCTTTTAAGCTCACTAAGGACAGAGCTTAGTCCTAGCCTCTTAACTGTCCACTGTGAGAGGTTAAGCAGTTTGATTCCTGTGTCATTAGGAGATAATATCCATTGGCCGTCAGAGATTAAAGTGACTTCCTTTTTAAAAAGAGAAACAACAGACCTAGTATTACATAAACTCAATCTCTCTTTCTCTTAGTTTTTCTGTTTTTAAATGTATTATACAGAAAAGGTCAGTTTAAAGAGCCAACCAAGTCTCTAAATTATTCTAACCTCATGTTAGTTAAATGAATGGACTCTTAATTCTTGAAAGTTCCTGTGTTGAGTGTATATGAGCATAACTGCCTAAAACCTCTCAGAGAGGCCACTCACTAGAAGCCAGGTGAAGGTAGTGACGGCGTGGCGTTACTAGGACGAATAAAATGCATGGGAGAAGTGTTTCCTCATTCTCACTTTAAGTACAATAAAATCCTCTGAAGATGTTTTAAAGATTCTTACTAAAATTACAAAATTATCTTGACAATAAATATTTAATGAATGATCAGGAGAAACTACATACTGCTAATAAAAACACAGGGACATTGGAATCAGACCCAGATATTTTACATGTACGATATGCGGGTTGGGTGGGGTGCGAGGAAAAGAAGAAAAGTTGCTTCTGAAGAGGCTTTTAAAGTATTTGTTTCTGGAACTCGTGTTACATCTGGAAGTGGGGTCATCCGACTTGTGGTCAGGGTCTTCCTTGTGTTAATACTGAATTTGGAGGAATACAAGGTTCCAAGAAATGGAGACTGAAGAAGACTGGTAAACCCTGTGGCCACAAGGAGGAGAGAATTGTTTTTATGCATCTGAACCTTCACGAGACTCCATGGTACAAAAACAGTGGGAATGCTCACCTTTGTTCTTATTGCAAGTATGTTCTGTATGTTCGAAAATATTATCCTGCCCTTATGTGTTTGGGGCTGGGTAAGGATAAAGCTAGTTTTAGGGGCACGCTGTTCTTGTTTTTTACATGTATGTATATATCTAGCTTGTGAATTTATTTACATTGTCTAATACCAGCGCTGTTCAGTTTTTCATGAGGAAGAAATTAAGAGAAAGGAGCCCAGGAACCCTGTTTCTCTACATACATATTTATTTAGAGGTAGATTTTTATTTGCCCAATTTAATCCACTTTGTATAATTTCTTTGTTCCACCACAGTGTGGACTTATTCACTGTGTGGGACCCCTGTGCTCCATGTTGGCATCTACATTTAAAGTAAACCTTCAAGTTACAGTCATTCAGGTTTTTTTTGTTTGTTTTTTTTTTGTGTGGTACGCGGGCCTCTCCCTGTTGCGGCCTCTCCCGTTGCGGAGCACAGGCTCCAGACGCGCAGGCTTAGCGGCCATGGCTCACGGGCCCAGCCGCTCCGCGGCACGTGGGATCTTCCCGGACCGGGGCGCGAACCCGTGTCCCCTGCATCGGCAGGCGGACTCTCAACCACTGCACCACCAGGGAAGCCCCATTCAGGTTTTTTATTGTTGGAGGAGCTAAGGAAGCATTAATTCCAGAAGAATTAAGTTGTATTTCTTTTATTTAAAAAAGACATTCAGGGCTTCCCTGGTGGCGCAGTGGTTGGGAGTCTGCCTGCCGGTGCAGGGGACGCGGGTTCGAGCCCTGGTCTGGGGGGATCCCACATGCCGCGGAGCGGCTAGGCCCGTGAGCCACAAGTACTGAGCCTGCGCGTCTGGAGCCTGTGCTACGCAACAAGAGAGGCCACGATAGTGAGAGGCCCGCGTACTGCGATGAAGAGTGGCCCCCGCTCGCCGCAACTGGAGAAAGCCCTCGCACAGAAACAAGACCCAATGCAGCCAAAAATAAAATATAAATTAATTAAAAAAAAAAAAAATAAAATAAAAAAAAATAAAAAAGACATTCATCCTTAAAAAATAGTTTTATTTTTACTTAAAATATAAAAACAAAATGAGTAAATCAGAAATTCTCATTTTTGCACACATTCCATTGCTCTGTGGTCACAGCAGCACTTTTTGCTGCCTTTCTGGAGTTTCTATAGCATAAGGCTATCTTAGAATACTTTGATACTTTACCCTCTCTTCAACTTTTTAGTTAGTAAAAGTGCATTTGCCTAGAACCTTATGAAAAGTATATCAGAAGATTTGGGGTTTGTTTTCTTTGGGTTTTAAGTGGTTAAAAATGTAAAAATTTGGCTTCTGTTTTGAAAAGGACCATTTAAACACAGAGGCCTCTGCACTGCATGGTGGAAAAGAAGCAAATGCACAGTGTTTGGTGTCAAGAGATGACATCTCTCCCCAGATTTTCTCTTTGCAAAGGCACATTAGACATTCAGCCCAGGCCCTTTTCACAGCCCAGTTTAACGATTGTCTGGGGAGACCTATAACCTCTGCTCATGAGGAAATTATAGAAGCCCCATTTTTCCCGCTGGGGTGAGACAGTATTGAAGAAGGTTGGTTAATTCTTGGTACAATTTAGAGAAGAGCCTGCCTTGAGAAAGTATGCTGGTGAGTTCGCCAGAGGAGCAGCTTCTTACCTGAACACTCAGAGTAGGGAGCTGAGGTCTGTGCCAGTGTGAGTCTCTGTGGCCCAGGGCACTAGCCGTGCTAACACGAGTTAGGACGTGTCCTGTTGTCTTTCTGAAGATTCGAGAACTCAGAGGATACTGATATGAGACAGCCCCATCCAAAGATAAATTGTAAATTGAGGCACAGACATATTTGCGTGCTTTCTCTTTTTGGACTCCAGGCTTCTAGAACACAAACAAAACAAAAACCAAAGTGAGGGCTTCGGGATCAAATTGCACTCATTTTACGCCAGTGGAATTTGAAATCCTGTGAGTTTAAGTTGAGGCTATGGAGGCTACTATGTTAATGATAATAAACAGGCAATTTAGAAAGGCTTTTTGAGCAGCTACTGTGTATAGTTCACCTGTCTGGGTGCTATCAGTAAGAAGGGATGGATTGGGATAGGGGTAGAGAGATTAAAATGACCAAAAATCCCCCCAGCAAAAACCCAAACTGTAAGAAGTATTTCAAGAATGTGAAAGACATTCAGGGGAGGGAGAAAGGTTTGCTATTAACACATTGGTCTCAGGTGTTTGTTAAGTTGGTTAGCTGAGGGTTTTGAACCCCTACCAGTATATTAGCCTATTTAAACATTTTTGGGTAGATGTGAAAGTAAAATGCTCTTCACCAGAAGTGGTCTGTGGTAGAGAGGACTCCCTCTGGTACGTTGGGGGATGACAGAGTGCCAGGAATGATTTGGACTCAATACAGAAGTCTTTCTTTTCAAATTTTAAAATGGCACAAGCAAATAAGCTTTTAAAAATTACTTGGAAGAAGAAACGCATAACTTAGAGCAACTGTAAAAGTTAATACTCCTTTATTTCTTTTTATGTGTATATCTTGCTTAGGTTTTCATCTTGCTATATTAAGAAATATTTCTGAGTGAAAATAAAATCATACTGAAATGTCTATAATGTAGTAAGATAGTCCACATGTGCTTTCTTTTAGTGGTGTGACTTGTGAAAGATATTTCTTTTTTTTTTTTTTTTATAACATAGTCTATGCATGGAACATTGAAAAGTATTGAAGGGCCTCCAAACTTGGGTATAAACTTGCCTTTGAGCATTAAGCCCACAACTCAAAATTCAGCAAATCAAAACAAAGAGGACACCAGATCCGTGAACGGGAAAGAGAAATTGGAAAAGAAATCCCCATCACCCGTGAAAAAATCTTTGGAACCCAAGAAAGTGGCCAGTCCTGGGTGGACGTGTTGGGAGTGTGACCGGTTATTCACGCAAAGAGATGTTTACATTTCCCACGTGAGGAAGGAGCATGGGAAGGTAAGTGACGAGTGAAATCCTCCCTGTCAGTGTAAGGAGGACACTCCAAGACGTGGGTGCTTGCTTGGCTCTGCCGGTAATTAGTAGGATGACCTCTAAAATCACTCATTATCTCTGAGCCTCAGTTTCTTAGCCTATAAAATGGACTCTCTGGGATTTCCCTGGTGTTCCAGTGGTTAAGACTTCGCACTTCCATTGCAGGGGGCACGGGTTCGATCCCTGATGGGGGAGCTAAGATCCCACATGCTGCGTGCCGTGGCCGAAAGAATTTTTAAAAAAAGACTCTCCAAGTCCTTATAATCTTGTGTGATTTTGCTGATAACGCCTTCACTTGTCCTCCCCGGGGCCAGCAGGGAGTTATCCACCACAGCCGTGTTTATAGCTGAGGAAATGGAGAACCATGATAAACCAAGGTTAAAAACATTTGAATTTGCCTGTTAGCTCTATGACAAACAAAGGAGAAAGGAGGAGAGAAAGAAAGTGGGTGTTTTGAAAACTGTTTGTAACATTTGTCTGACTTCTGTGATTCTCTCCTGAGTTTGGTGATAGGAGAAGGACCTCAGCCATAAACCATCCAGGAGAAGCTCTGTAACTCAAAATCTCTGAAAAATCTGAGTGTGCATACTTTTTCTTTTTAAAATAATAAGTATACATCTCTAACTATTACGGATTTTTTTTAATGCCCGTTATTAGACTTAATAAAACTAGCAAGATTATTTTTTAATATTACTCTCATTGTCTCAAAGTTGGTTTGTTCCAGTTAGGATCCAAAGAGTCTGCTTTGCATTTGGTGGTTGTATAACTTAAATCTCTTATTCTCTAGCATTCCTTCTTCCATTTTGTTTTATTTTTTAATGTGCTGTATATGTTGGAAAAATTGGGTTATCTGTCCTGTAGTTGTCCCTCACATTTCTGGACTTAGGTAATTGCTTCCTTTTGACATTGTTTGTTTCTCTTTATCCCATAATTCCTAGAAATTGGATTAGATTCAGGTTGAATTTTTTAGATGGGAATACGTCATCGTTGCTGTATTTTTGTTTCACATCCTGAGGCACCTAATACCAGCTTGTCCTACTTTTGGTTCAGATGACACTGTACTTTTAAAGAAACCATCTTATTGCTTTAATTTAAGCCAATAAAACCAAATAGTTATTCTTGGGGAACCTGTGTAAAAAGTGCATAAGAATTGGTTTGTGATTAGTATATACTAGATCCTTGAAAAGTCTGTTTCTATAGCATTTACGAATTAATTAAAAGCATTACTTTAGTATTCTCATTTATGCTGTTTATTTGAGGTACTCATGAAGCTGGCGTGTGTGGCCTTCCTGCCATCCAAACAATGTAAACTTGCCTTTGAGCGTTGATCACAATGATCACAGATGGCAAAAAGATGTTTTTTTATTATATTTTGTCTAGCTACACTTAATTCAGTATCTCCTCATGTAAGAATTAGTTACTTAGAGAATATAAATGGCTTCGGCAGCAAGCACATCGCTCATTTAACTGTCTCAACCTTAGGCTCCCCTCATGGGCTGTAGCATCTTAGAATATTCGTGCTACATATTTGGTAGTTCTTTTGCAGCAATACTTGATAAACCTAGTATATAAATACACGACCTGTAATTCTTTCAGAGCCCAGTGTGATGATTCTAGGAAAAGTCTTCTTTTCTTGGCATCCAAACTGGATTTAACAAATGTTGAAACGAGAGCAGACGGTAATAATTATCTGATAGTCCGAACCGTTCATTTCTTATACATTTGAGATTTCTGTAACCAACTTGGAACCTTTCAGAATTATTTTCTTTCCTTTTTTTTTTTAATATCTTTATCTTGCATGTCTGACAATTATTGGGTCTAGAATATAACATGAAGAGACAGCTCGTTGAAAGAGTTGGTGGGATGAAATGTCACACCTTCCTGCGGGACCACAGCCGGCCGTGTGCGCATGCGCGCCGCGCACGCGGTGTGAGCCCTGACGTTCGGGGCACTGCTCGTCACCGAGGAAATGTTTAGCTTAGCAAGAGTTTAGGATTAGCTTTGAAGAAGTTGAGACTCTCTGCCTTTTGGAGTGAGGCACATCAGGTTAGATTACAGCTTCAATTCTGTTCACTTGGGCCTCCTGAAAGAACCAAAGGGAGGTGGGGAGGGAAGGAAAGACACGTCTTTATAAGCTGTTTTGAAATGAAAAGAGTGTTGAACTTGAGTCAGAAACCAAAGTGCGAGTTCTCCGCACTGAGTCAGACTGGACCCTCTGCTTCCACACCCCACCTACAGACGTCCTTGTGTCTGTTCCCACTCTTTCCTTCTTCCCTCCTGTCCCCAAACCTCAGATCTCCTGCCCCCTTCTTTTCTCTCTCCTGCCTTCGGACAGCCAGCAGGCACCCTGCCTTCCACACATTTCCACCCCCTGTGCTCCTCAGCTGACCACTGCGGGCTCCGTGACCAGACCCGCCTCACTCGTGACCTCCTTGTCGAGGCAGGTGGTCATTTCTCCGTCTTTACGTCCCTGACCCACTGCAGTATTTCACCCGACTGACAGTTCTTCCTAAAAGCATTTTCTACTCTTAAGTGTGGAACAGTACACTCTCTCCTGCGTTTTCTCTTGGTAATTCTCTCTCTGGGAAGTTTCAGGTATCCTCACAGCTTCACTTCTCATATATATCAATATATGTGCAGATAACTTCCAAATCTCTGTTTATAGCTTTGGTTTCTTGCCTGTATTCCAGTCCCTGAAATCCAGCCACTTATCAAGTGTTTCAGCTTCTTGTATCATTTACAGAAGCTTTAAGCCTGTTCAACAAGGAACTTAAACTATTCTCAAATATAAAATCAGAAAGATGAGCTCGTCAGTATTATTAATCCAGTGATCTCATCCAAGCTGTGAGCCTTCTCCCAGATAAATGTACAAATACACAGAATTTTATATACAATTTTAGGGGCTCACGTACCTCCTGAGATACTTTCTTGGTTGCTTTAGGGGTGTCCTAGGGACCTCAGATTAGGATCCCCTCAATGAGATAGTGTCTGAGGTCATTCTCACAGATCAAATAAATCTAGAATTTAAGGCACCTGATAGTAAATAAAAAAGTGAAAGTTGTCTGTACTTGTTCATATCTTGAGAAATACTCAGTGATCTATGATAACTGTAGCCATTTTCTCATTTGCTGCCAGGTACCCCTACCCATCAAGGGACCATTATTAACTTTTAAATAGAAAGATCCTAAAGCAGATTTGCATTTACTGAATTCTGGGACTCAGATGCCATCAAAATGGACCTTATGAGACTCGCTGAGGTTCTCTCGGGGTATAGATGTGGTCCAGTTCTGTGTCTAGAAATTGGGAGGAGCCTGGGCTTTCAGAGCCTGACAGACTTGGGTTTGAATTCTTTCTCTGGCCTTACGGAGCCCAACCATTTCAGAGAACAGGTTGTCGAGTAGCTTGGTTCTGAGCACCAGGAAAAAGAATGTGGTGAATCCTAACTGCAGGTAGTTCCAGGTAAGTTTTATTTTCTTCCGTTTACCAGGGTACTTGGTGGTAGGTAGAGTAACACCAGAGGTGGAGAGTAAGTGGGTTTTGCACAGCCTTTGACAGGGTCACTCAGTGCTGCTTTGTGTAGGATCGCACAGACGGGCCTGATGAGACGTTGAGTTTATAGCTGGCTCTCGACTCATTGCTCTGTTGGAGAGAAAGCTTCCATTCTGGATCAGATTTTACCCAGTATTTCTATCAGTGACTTTTGACTGTAGGGAAAGAAACGGGGGGGGGGGGGTTTCACAAGGTAAATCTTAACAAGTAAACACAGACGTTTCATTTAGGTTTAAAAAAATCAAGCACACTGATATCATGTGGAGAAGGTAGGGTTTAGTCATCTTACGTGAAAAAACATTGCACCTTTGTTTGCCCATCTTAAGACCACCATCCTTTGTGGCTGCAGAGATAGCATTCCCATCGGGGAGGCGAATGCCCTTTGATTCAGCGCTGTAATCTAGCGAGTGGCTCTCCAAACTTGACTGTGCAGCTGAATCCCCTGGGGGAGGGCTGGTTAAAATCTTTATTTCTGGGTTCCATCCCCCCCACAGTTTCTGATGCAGTAGGTCTGAGATGGAGCCTGATAATTTGCATCTCGTATAGGTCTCCACTCTGAGAACCGTTGGTGTACCCTAGGTAGCAGTAAAAGCCCCTAGAGCCCATCGATTTGTACGAGAAATGCTTATTTCTTGCCCATGCAGAGTTTGTTACTACAGGTGTGAGCAGTTCTCTGGGGCAGCTCTCCTTCCAGTGACTCAGTGATCAAGACCATTTCTTTCACCCCCATCATCTCAACATTTCCTGCAGTAGGGAAAAAAGACTAGAGAATCACGCGCCCTTATATTTCTGGCTGTGACATGCAACACATACCATTGGCCAGTACAGGTCATGTGAGCAGACCCACTGGCAGTGTAGTCTTCACTGTGCCCCGGCTGGGGGGCCAGGGAGGGGGAAACGACAGGCAACGTTTACCATGCCCAGTGCGGTGGCTACGGCATTGGAAGTGGTGTGCCCGGGTTTTCATGGCACTGACTGAAGGTGGGTATTGACACTAGCACTTAGGAGGGTAACCGGAAGGGTGAGGGTCTGGAAACAATGTAAGGAGGAAGAGAAGTTGGAGTCTGAGGGAGCTTTTATAGCTGTCTTTAGATACCTGTATCCTCCATAGAAGGACCAGTGCGTGATTAATTACGGGGCAGCTGGAGCTTTGTGGGTGAAATACCTACCTACTTGTCATGGGCAGGTAGATTCAGGCAGCAGCCAAGTGACCACCTGTAAAGGGATGGAATAGAAAGGATGCCTTTCAGACTCACACCGGGATTAAATGAAAGCATCTGTAGTAATACATGCAGTGGTGGCCTAGCTACCAGGAAGTAGGCATCTGTATGCGATCATAGTCTAAAAGTCATTCCATCCATCTGCAAAAAGCATTTCTTCTTACAGTTGATCTGATTTGTAAATTGCAGCAGAAC